GACGGAACGCGGCACACAACGCATTCCGAAGCGCACACCGTCGTCGTCCCGCGGCCGCGGTGTGCGCGCGCGCCGCGCCCCCTCGTGTTTACAGCACTCCGGTGTGCGCGTGCCCACCGCTCACCCGTTCCTACCCGTCCCGTTCCAACCCTGACCCTCGCTGGCGCACGGTCGGCGGGGAAGCAGCAGGCGCCAACAATACGCGCCACCGCCGCCGCCCCTGCAACCCCCGTACGCCCCTCCCGATCGCGTTTTTTTTTTCCCGTACACGCGTTTATATATACGACCGTAATTATCAATCGCCACTGGCTAGTACTGCGTGCTATAACTTCGCCGGCGTCTAAGTCGAACCCTGTGAACGATAACCGTTTTCGTTTCTTTTTTCCCTCTCCTCTCTATTCGTTCCGAAACGGTCGCCTCGAACAACCCTCCCGTCCGTGTTACTTCCCGTCGTGCACGTGCCGTCGATCCCGTACAACCGGTTTTCAGTACGTTTCAGTAACGTTTCAGGTACCGCGATCTACACGTTTCCGTACGGCATTTCCACGCTAACAAAACGTTTGCCGGTCGTGTTTCGATGACGGTGTGTCTACCGTCGCGCCGGTCCAGTCAACCTTTCCGAACAGGTGAGCTGCATTCAAAATGTCTCTGACGAACGATCGACGTCCAGAAGATTTTAGACGTAGATTTGTTTGATGAACAAACAATTAAATGTCCTGTAAATATTCATTGATTTGTTTCCTTATCACGTGCATCGAAATTGCTGTTTTTTTTTTTTTTTTGACCGATATTTGTACTTTAAACAATCGAAAATTTTGGCTCACTAACCGGTCCGGTCCACTCCACTAGTATACAAAAAAAAAAAAAAAAATCAGCCCAGTCTGGTCCGTCCAACTTCAGTTCAATAAGATAATAATGGTCTTGATTTTGAACAACAATTTAATATGATTTTACTTATATGTATACACTTCATAGCACAATATTATCCTACATAATAATATGTTATTTTAACTCAGATTATAATGTTTTTTAGGACACTAAAATAGCTCCACATATTTTTCTATGGTTTTATTGGTTACATAGTATATACTTATAATGGAATATAAATCCAGAAGCAGAATTCGACTTGATGATTGTAGATTGTCTTATTTGACATCTGTATTATTTTAAAATGTATATTTTAGACTTTATAGACAATTTTATAATAATATGGTTTTATTTTGAATATTTTACATCATTCAGTCTTAATTTTAAATATCGATCCTTTCTCGGATTTTTCTAGTACATTCTAATTGATACGGTACAGTCTGGTTTCAGTCTTAGTTAAAATGTATCAGTCCAATCCGTTCTTTAAAAAAAACGGACCATGTAAACCTCTAGCATTCACGGATCATTTTCTAGGATTTATGCCTTCCCTCCCCACCAATATGAATAGACCTAATGTAAAAATGAATATTCATAAATATATAAAAATATAGAAATATATAGAAAACAAATAGTTGGCACTCGAAGATTTGAAATACCTATCATACATTATCTCATAATGCGCCGTATAATAATATAGAAGTTATTTCGTTTAGCACATAATATAAAAATAGAATAGTATTCTGCATTTACATTTTTTTCATTACAGACTTAATGTGACTTGTGTTCACCGTCGGACAACGATAATGATCGACATTGTTACAGTTTTCTACAAAAGTAGATACCTATTTTTTTATTACGTTATTATGGAAGATATAATGAAGACTCCTTCGCTATCCTCTCAATAAACGACTGTTTTAAAACAAGAGTCAATTGGCTGAACCTGTGAGCAAGGGACAAGTGTTGATGATGTGCGTAGACTGAATATAATCTAAGGTCTCCTAAAAAAAAAAATTATCGAATTTTTTGTTTTCGAAAAAGTTAAAGGTAAATGTAAATAACAAGGAATGTCATCACCTGTCATTATCTTCACTCACTTATACTGACAACAATAAACTATTCCGACTATCACGATTGACTGATAATAGTTAATTCCAAGAATTGAATAAGGCAATTCCCATTATTCGATTATTTAGTATGCGATCGACCGATTATGGTAAAATTAATTGTTATTACGATCGACCAATATTCATAGAATGATCGACCAATCGAC